GGGGGGGGTAGCTGGTGCTTTTCTTAAACCCAGAATTTCCTGTCCTTAAAATCACTGCATGGATGTACACTGTGAGAGCTCTCCCTTCTGGCAGACCAGTGACTTACAGAACCTATTTGGAGCCATTTGTCACTGATAATATCTAAAAATTGAGTGCTGGGCACGTTCCCTCTGCTCTAAATATCACTGGGACACCAAACTATTTCTAGCATGGCTGATATTTCATTTTTAATTCCAAAATCCTGAGAGGCTGCTCTCCCTGAGGTTTGTTTTGGGTACTGACACCTTGATTTAGTCTTTGTAGTCCAGCCATCTGTAATATTGCGATCACTGACAGAGGTGTTATATGGGCTAATGTCTCAGTGGGCTGAGAAGTGGCGGGGTGTTTTTTGGGGTTTTTTTGGTTAAAGATTTAAAATTGACCGTGTTAAAGTCTGGAGTGAGAAGTGAAGTGACTCTGTGCATTGTCACTTGAGAAATTTTCAAGTGGCATTTCATAAAAATATCACTTGAAGTGGTATTTATTTCTTTTTATACAAGAGAGGTTTCCCGGAGGACTTATTTTTTGGACAAATGAATAGGACTATATTGATGAGCAGTGTGGAGGATTTCATCTACCTGTTTCAGTCTAGCGCTGGATTAGAAGAAGTCTCTTATGAATTGCTTTCTTGCAAGTGCACATGGTTTCCTTTGCTTCCCAGCCTGATGAAGGGTATTCGTACTCGAAAACTTGCAAAGAGAATTTTAAACCAACTCAAATAGTTGGAAAATAAAAGATATCAAGTTTACCCAAGAACTTTGTCTGCCTATGTCCTTAGACCAACACGGCTACAACCTACACCACCGTTTCCTTTGGCACTTGGTGTACTCTAGTCAACGTTTCGAACTGTTTGTAGCTACTGAACTGTAGGAGGGACTTGAACAAAATAAGTAGTGCGTGTCTTCCAGATTATTATTTACAGAGACTTTTATTTGGTGTTTCTTCATCCTCCTTTGGGAAACATTAATGTTAGTTCATCTTCCATTATACTCCCCATGTGCGCATTCAAGTTGTGCAGGAGAAGCTGAGATGAGATGAAAGAAGGAAAATGCTCAGGAGAAGCTTGTGAGAGACTTGATCAACCCTGGGAACCTCACGGAGTCCTGTGTTTTTTACTGGTGTTGCCTTTTTAATCTTATATCTAAAAAAGCAAGGCACAAGGCTCTGTTTGAGTGGATGTTAGGGCCAAGGTGGCTGGTGCTGGGCTCCTACATCTCATGGTTAAGGAAGGGTGAAATATGTGACAAAACTGACCTCCTAGCTGTCTTTCCTGCCCAAGTGCAGGGGGGGCTGGACCTGATCTGTAAGGTCCCTGCCATCTAACATCTGCGACACCAGGGCATCTGCTTGAGTCGGCGCAACTCCGCTTCAAGTGAGGTGAATCTACTTTGCTAAAAGCAGTGTTAGCACGTACGACTGGTCTGGGTCTTGGCAGCAGTGTCCCAGCAAAGGATTCTGACAAAAGGTTTCTTACCCCTGGCTGCTAGGGTAAGGGGTTGATGACTCCTGCCCCACTTGGAGGAGGGTGGAGTGTCATGCTGTTGACCCTGCTGCTACTTCAAGTGCAAGTGCAGGACCACAGCCTGGTGAGACCCATGGGTGTGGGTTTCTGGGCATCCAGACTAGGCTCCATTTTAACAGGAGCCAAATTGATATATGCTTTAAATAGCTTTTGCACCTTGATCACTGTGCAAAAAGACTGAGAACAGAAGTTGTAAACCAAGCTTGGTGGTGGGAAAGGGAATCCATTAATAGTTTTCAGTTCCATTTGATTCCCTTATGCTAGCAGGGCACTTCAATATTGAAGCTGGTCTCATGACTTGAGGGAGCTTTATTTGTAGTGAAGGCATGAAAATTTAAAAAGACATTTGAGTCAGGCTGTCTGGAGATGGCTCGTGCTGTTCAAAGGGCAGTCACTCCCATCAGTCTGGTCAAGTTGTTAGAAACGGCAGATCGGGTTCCTTAGCAATTCGAACACAATCCTTCCATAATGGTAAAAAGAGGTTGTTGTAGAGCAGCTTTTATGGTTGCAGCCTGTCCTTATCGATGAATTAAAGAGTCTGAAACAACTAGCTAGGAAGCTGCTTCAGTGTTGGAGGTTTTCTTCCTTTCACCAGCTTCTAAATATTTAGGACCTGATCATCGGGTACCGTCTTGGTCTGCTCGACTTTGTTCAGTGCTGCTCTACCAAGTTTATTGCACTGTAAAACAGTTCTGTTTTCTCTTCATCCTTTTTATTCATGTACTGAGGGGGAAAAACTGTTCCTATACATTCATGGTGGTGGTGGAATGGAAAAGACTTTAATGGAAAAAGTCTCAGATCCCCTGCCAGAGATCTGAGGTATGAACTCTGCAGCATCTTTCCATGCAACTGCTTCACTGAAGTGATAGAGGGATTAGTAGGAGAATCTATTGCCTCTTAACTATCGCTAGCATCTCTCTTTTTTTTTTTTTGGTTAAATAGTTATGTAATCTGGTTCTTTTAATTTTATAAATGAGTTTAAACTTGCTCCTCCTAAACGATGTAGATTTATTTCTGTTCTGCGTGTTGGTGTTTGTGTTTAAAGCTCCTGATTTTTGCCTAGCGTAGGTCTCTTTCCTGTTGCTCTGTATTGCTAATACAAGTAGCTTTGCTACTAGGATCTCGTGTGTATTTGTGCCTTTAAAAAAAAACCCACTCACACACTTTCTGGATGCTGTAATCACCAGCTCTGAACACAGTGGAACTGGGCTGACTTGCACAACATGAGAACTAGTCTATGATTGGACTGCCTGCTCCTTCCCATCCATTTCTTACTGTTACTGAGACAATTGATTGGTAATTTTAATCTAAACTGCAGCTTTACTCCAAGACTGCATACAATGCTGCATCTAATGCTAATGGGTTGATTTAAAAACAATGCTGAGACGCCCAATGTTAGTCTTCATAGTGTGGGAGGACAAAAGACGGATTAGCAACAGATCCAGTTGTAATTCAGACTTCTTCAAACTGGAGGATGGGGGAGGAAAGGGGCAACAGGGAAGAAGTCTTAGGTGCTGTTTGGAACCTGCAGCTACTCAATCCACCAATGTGCTTTTGCTAATGCTCATTAAAAATTATTACCTCCATTTTGAGGTACTAGAAAAAGGCGCATTAGCTTATTTTAATGCAACTTGGTGTAAATGCATGGTTTTTTGTGACACTCTAATGCACATTAAACTGCATGTATAGATGTGCCCAGTGACAGCTACTTCAGAGAGTTTTATTTTAAGACTCTAGTTAAATTGCATGTGTTGGTTAAAGTTGAAAGGGATGTTTGGTTTTTGAGGAACCAGCTTTACATGGTGTAGCACTGTTCCTTCTCCCTGCACTCCACCTCCAATTTTTGGGTATCTGTAAGGAGAGTGTAATGATAAGGCTCAGTTTCAGGCTGCACAGAACGGTTGTGGACCTTTATTGTCTCCCAGTTAGACAAGCTTTCCTTCTCATTTTTATCACCCGGTGTGCCATCTGCTCGTCATCCGAGTGCTTAAACCAGTGAACTTTAAACTAAAGTAGGCCGTAGTTGTTTGTCGTCTTCCATCTGCACCAACACGGAGCACCTCTTGGCTGTTGGCAAACAAGGTGTCTTGCACTTCATCCTGCCAAATGATGGGGAAAGCCTTGAACTTTTAGGTTTTCTTCCTGGATTTCTACATGACCTTTAGAGGACATCTGGTAACAGTGGTAAATGTTGCCATTTTCCGATGTCAGCGAGTGTAAGCTTTGGAGGCCAAAGGGCCCCACTTCTAATATGGTGAGACTTGGTAGATGCCAACGATGTGACATTTTGGTTAAAGTTGCACCCATTCTGCGCACCCAGCTCTGCTGTTTGTTCGGACTAATTTCTTGCGTGTGACTTGGGAGCACTTTTCTTCCAAGAAGGCCTCAAAGCCTGAGGAAAGTCAGCAAAGTATCTTAGCTGTTGGTATTAAACCCGTAAAAGGGTTGAATGTCTGATGTTGGTTGCAAGGTGCACAAACTGTATTTTAGTGCTAGATTAGGTCCCTGCCTTGTTCACTCTTTAAATAAAGTGCTGGGGTGGCATGGTGGACTTGAGGCTTAAACCAGTGGAGTTTCAAATCACGCATGTGCAGCAGCCTTTGCCTAATGAATTCTGTTTGTTTTGCATTCTAGGGCAGTTGAACTTCATTGCCTTCCCCCGCCATGAGGAGGAGTATCTCCAACTGACCGTGAACTGGCACCCCTGTCTTCTAATCCTTGGTCAGAACTGTAACGCCAAATGCCAACTACTCAACATGCTGTTGGGTGAGAAGCTGCTCCCCACCACCAAAATTGGCAGCGAGGAGAATTGTAAGAGGCGGCGAATCCGCTTCACGCATGGGACACAAACGCGGATTAGCCTGGCTCTTCCAGGGCAGTACGAACTAGTTCATATGTTGGCAGCCCATCAAGGGCAGTGGGACACGATACCAGAGGAGGATTTGGAAATCCATGGGGACAGTGAGGATCCAGCACACCGAATAGCAGAGCTGGAGGTGACACTGCCTTACTCGCTGCTAAAGGTACCGATCAGAGGCACATGTCCATTATCGGTTCTTGTACCTTTGTCATTTAAACTTATCGGAAGGGAAAGGTTATATTGTAATGTTGTGTGATTTTTAAATGATTGAGGGGAATGCCCCAAGGTAATTCTCTTTAAAAGAACTGAAATATGGTGGAGTTTGGGGTCTCTGTTTCTCCTAGTGTTCATTGCCAGTATCTGTCCTCTTCATTACTACCATCCATCTCCAAAAGCTAGACTTTTAAGTAGATAGCATTTTTAAGCTGTCTCCCCAAATGGGTGCTAATCCTCAGCCTCCACAGAATCTGTTTTCCCTTTTCCAAAGCGACTCTAAAGAGCTGGCTGATGTCTTGTTGCCCAGTGAGCCTGCATGATTTGGGTGCATAGCATAATCACTCTCGCCTATCTCAGAAATGCTTAAATACAGAAAAAAGGTGGAGCACCAATACCTCCAGAGGGAGCTGGGGGCTGTCGGTGCTTAAAAGGTGGCAGTGTAGCAGAATCCCAAACAACTTGGATGAAAGTAACTGGGAGGTGGTGTGTTCAGCAAGAATACAACAGTTGGCTAAGGGTTTTGTTCCTAGCTTTGTGCTGCCTCTGTGACTGTGTCCTCAGCTGCTTTTAGGTGAGAGAGAGAGAGAATGCCTTCTACCTTAGTGCTGAGTCTTGACTTGTTTAGCAAATGCTGTGAAAGATCAAGGATATTTTATAGCAGTTTTACATTAAAGTGTCTCATCTTTACTGCAATGTTACGTTTTGGAAGTGTTGACAGGAAGATACCTGCATTAAAAGGTGGGCGTATCAAAACCTGGTGACATTCAACACTGAGAAATGCAAGGTGCTCCATCTCAGGAGAAAAAACCCATGTCGTACTTAGAGGCTTAGCAGTGCTACGCTCACTAGCACCATGACTGAAAGAGACTGGGGGGGCGGGTCACGATTGACCACAAGGCGAACGTGAGCCACCAATATGATGCTGCAACTGGCAGAGCATATAACTCTGGCTTGCATGTACCGGCATCTTGAGCAAGACCCAAGAAGTCGTTCTCCCGCTTTACTCTGCTTTGGTGAGACTGCAGCTGGAGTACTGCATCCAGTTCTGGGCTTCACACTTTAGAAAGGACATGGAGAAGCTTGAGAGAGTGCAGAGGAGAGCCATGTGCATGATTAGAGGTCAAGAGAACAGGCTTTATGAGGAGGGGCCGAGAGCCATGGGAGTTGCCTTGGTGGCAGCCTATAAGTGTATAAGTGGGGATCTGGGAGAACATCTGTTCACCAGGGCACCCCAAGGGAGGTCTAGGTCTGACGGTCACAAACTGCTGGAAGACTGTTTTAGATCGGACATAAGGAAAAGCTTGTTTACCATCCAGGTTTCCAGAGTCTGGAATAGACTCCCCCCAGAAGTGGTGCAAGCACCTACCCTAGACACCTTTTAAGAAATGCTTGGATGTTTTTCTTGCTGGGGTGATCTGACCCCAGCTGACTTCCTGCCCCTTGGGCAGATGGACCCAGTTATCTCACGAGGTCTCTTCCAGCCCTAATGTCTCTGTAATCTCTGAAAAGTAACTTGTTCTTTGTACGTACAGTAGCTTGCCTTTGAGAACAGATCAGATAGTTGTCTTTTTGTTTTTGTTTTTTTTTAAGTGAGACTAGAAGTATGCATTTGCAGAATGAAGTGAGGAGAGTGCTCTGAGCATCTGGATTTTACAAACAAGACTGGAGAACAGGTCTTTCCTTGCTTCCAGATATGAACCTAGTTTATAAACCAGCTTTATAGTAAGAGGTCAGGTGAGCCCAGTTTAATTCAAAGTGCTGATTGCTGTATAGCATTTGTAGCTTCTGGCCTCTTCTAGTAGATGCTGTCTAAGGCTCCTATCACATAGAAGTACCATGCTACAAAATGGCTCTTATTTTGGCTTTAGAGCCTAGTCATGCTGTGTCTGGGATAGTTAAGCTTAGAGTGTTTAAACTGTAAATTCTAAGTTTTTACCTGGTTAAATTTTTTTTTATAGTGGTCTTCTGAGTACAGTGGTACGCACAACCCTCTTGCAGATTTTCTCAAGCGAGTTGACAACAGGCTCTTTGTTTGGTTGTAGCTGTATTTAGGACAATCTGGATGAAAACAGCCCATCAGACTAACTTGAAAAGGGATAGCAAAGTAAGGCCTCCTTCAGTGGAAGGAGAGAGGAGTGCATTAGAGGTGGCATCAACTCTGGCATGTTCTTATAAATGGTGTTTTACAGGACTAATCTGTTTTTCCCTGCTTTTTAGAAGACTTCTGTTTGCTAATACCACAGTACAGCAGAGACGCTAACAGGGCTTGGGACAGCTCTCAGTGACTAAAACATCTGAGTATTGTGTAATGCTGAAGGCTTCCTGAGTTGCTGTTGCTCTAATAGTGACGGCATGTTGTGGAAGCTAGCAGACTACTGTTGTCTTCCAAAACCACATGGAGTTGGGTAACATAAAAATGCCTGCTGCTTGTTTGGCACTACCGTAGAGGCATCCATAACCAGAGCAGTAAAATACTCTATAAATATCGCCCTAGGTTTTAAGGCTGCCAAATGCAGACAAGGTTCTTTGGGTAAATCTGATATCTTTTATTAGACCAACTCATAGTTGGAAAAATTCTTCTTGGCAAGCATTTTTTTTTAAAGAAGTCTGCTAAAGCTTTTGAAAAGGAGCTTCTGCTCTTCTAAATTTGGTACATGAATCTAGTAAATGATTTCTGTTTGAATCAACTGAGCTCTTCCACCTCTCTGAAAAATCAAGCCAGGACTGGATTATTTTCAGCAGCTGCTTAGATTCCCTGTAGTCTCGTCTGTCTTTAGTTAACAGCATGCTTATGCTAGACTGGCATTTCCTGACCTCTTTTCAGGTGTTTGGGAGATGCATGATTTAAAAAAAAAAAAATGCTACATTTTGTGGTTGTGTAAGACTTACAGTTGGTATGACGGGTTTTTTTTTTTTGGTTTTTTGTTTTGTAGGACTAACACTGAGTCGCATATCAATTGATGGAACAAACTGCTGGCTTTAAACTTTGCTTCAAATGATCTACTTCCCATTCCACCTTTTCAAAGACTTACAAAAGCAGACTTCAGTCTGGATTTTTGTGGGCCCCCCCTTTTTTAGAAACTGTTAGATTCCTAGCTGGTAATGGATGTTATGGTGTTAAAACTGCTTAACTTTCTCTTTTTTTGCACTAGAGGTGTAACTCCGTGAGCTGGTTTGGGTGTTTTTGGATTACATGCTGCTATTTTGTTCAGGCCTTTAACTTAGAAACAGGTCTGAATGCTTGTTTACTAGCTCAAAACATGTTAGAGGTTTCCTCTTCATAGTATTGGCTTCACTTCCCTGTTTTTATTAATGTATTCATGGGACACGAGTAACCTTTGTTTGTTTTCTCTGTGATGAATCCAACTCCAGTTCTGAATGAGCTTCGTGCTTGTTGATGCTGAAAGCTACATGAGGGGCATGCTGAGAATCTCTCCAATCAGTTGGTTCAAACTGGGCAAACTCCTTTAGGAAGGAGACAAATTGTGCCAAGTGAGATGTCAAGGGCAAGACTTTCAAGCCCTATGATCCTGTTTAGGGATGTGAACAAAAGTGACCAGCCCTAAAAAAGGGGACTTGGCAGGCTCAGCAGCTTGCACCAAAAACTGTGAGTTGCTGGGTGCAGTTTAAAATCTGGCTCCTCCATTTAGCTATCTAAATGAGAACAGCGCTTCTGTGAATGTCTCTGAGACTTGGTGTATATTGCGGTGCTGAAAAAGATTAAGTGTATTTTAAGCAAGCGTGAAACGGTTTTCTTACACAGCCTTCCAGAGTTAACCGAGAGCCCTGTGCATAGTCAGAACATGTTAAGCAGTCTTAGCACGTGAACCTTTAGCCTGACAATCAATCTTTTGATGTCTCGGGCAGGCTTTACTACCTCCTTCTGGATTATTAAAAGATGTAGTCTTGCTTACAGGAGCCACGAATCTAATTTGCATGGGTAGGGTGGTGTGGGAGCACAGCTGGCAGGTATATTAACTGAGACATTTATACTGCAAATAGCATTGCCGGAAAAGCTGAATTTGGCAATCTGCCCCTTTTTACACACGGTTTGCATGTGGGTTATGGAGAATGATCCATCTAAATGGCAAGACTACAGATCTATGGTGGAAGTAAATGTTCGACGGTCTCCCAGGATTGATAAGGTTCTTACTGATAGCATCTTGCAGCTCTCAACTAAGTCCCAGTGGTGTTGTGTCCCCTGTGGAGGGATGAGGGGGGAAGACTGCAATAGTTGAAGGGAAGGAGTATTAAAGTTTTGAGCGCTTTTTTTCATGCACTTCATTGCAGGTCATTCTTTGTGCTTTGTTACCTCTGTGCATTGCTACAGGTGGTGTCTTAGGCCACGTGCTCAAGGCTGTTTGAGGTGCCTTTCAAGTTAGGAAAAAGTAAAAAGATAGTTGCATCATTTTGTTTCCTGCATTATCATTCAGGTTTCCTCAAGAATGGAGTTCAGTAATCTGGCAAGCTTAGTTTTACTTTGAAGGCTTGTGGGTAGCTGCTGTTTGTTTTTTTGTTTTGTTTTGTTTTTGTGGGGGGGCAGCAATGGAATGTAGCTCTGTGTGGATTTTTTCAAATTGAATTACTGTTTGTCACTCAGATCACAAAGCAACTGCATCCTATAATAAGTTTCTGATTATAGTTTTTTTCCTTGAACTTTATGTTGCAAGGTACTTGGTTATGACTTACTGTGTGAAAACCCTAACTGGTATGGATCTTGCCTGAGGGACTCTTCCTTCCAAGGCTTTCTGTGGTGTTACTCCACTTTTAAGGTTGGCTAAAGTGCTCCTGCTAAGCACGAGTGCTCAATATCTGAGTTGTTCTGTGTAGATTCATTTTATATTGTGTCCATCAGCCTCAGGTGAGTGCTGGAAGCACTCTGTCCTTAAAAGTACCAGCCCTGGAATTTATACCTCCTTCCACGCACATTTTACTAGGTGTATAGGC